GCACAAAGGCTGTAATTTTAATGAGTCACTGGTTGGAGGGAGCAGTGATGGAGTGCAGAGCAATCCCACTTCCCAGAGATATCCCACTTCAAAACACATTTCCTGAAGGGGGGTGGCTGGATCAGCATTAAAGAGAGGATTTCCCCTCAGTGCTGTCTGTGCTACAAGTAAATTTATGGAGTTTTTATGTTCAGGAATTAAGGAGGTGAAGGAGCCCTCTGGCCTTTAGGGGAGCCAGAAATGGGGAAGGAAATTGGACGCCGGAAGCTTCTTTGCAACGTTAATTTTCTTTCTACATCAAAAATTTCTTTGTGTCTCAGATTATTATCTGTATTTATGAGAACTGAATACTGAAAGTTAGTGTGATTTCCCATCATTTCAGGTTTTGGGGACATCCATCCATACTCAGCTCTTCCAGTCAATGATGTCATGTTCTAGATGTGGGTGATGTAAGGAAACCATAAATCTGATTTCTTGTGGGAATGGGAGCCCCTGGATCCCTGGAAGTGTCCAGGACCAGGGCATGGAGCAGTCTGGGATAGTGGAAGGTGTCCCTTACCTGTGACATGGGGTGGAATGAGATGAGCTTTAAGGTCCCTTCCAACCCAAACCCTTCTGAGATCCCCATCACAACACGCCTTGGTGGATAAAGATGCAGCAGCTGCAAGATTTACTTGGTGGATTTAGTGCACAAGGGCATAAATTGGGAATTTTGCACCCTTGTAAGGAAGATTTTTTTTAAGTCAGTCTGCAGGGTGCAGACGGTGCTTTGTGAAGGAAGAGGGTTTAATCCCAGCTCTGGAGTTTGTCTTAAATGGGAGATGAATGGGCACAGCTGGGCTGGGTGAGAAATGAGGGGTTACACTGGAAAAAAAGGCCAAGGATTTCCCTTCAGCCACACACAGCAGGCACAGGAGCATCTTGCAGGCAAATGGAGGAGAAGATGCTGCAGGCAGCAAAATGGCTTCATCCAAAAGTTAGAAAAATTTCTCTTGGAGATTCAAAGGCACCTTTCTGATCATATTTTGAGCTCCAAAACTCTTCCTTCCAGTTCAGACCTTTCTGTCTCCTTCCCATAGAATCCCAGAATGGTTTGAGTTGGAAGGGATCTCAAAGCCCATCCCTGCTCCAAGCCCCGTCCAACCTGGCCTTGGGCACTGCCAGGGATGCAGGGGCAGCCACAGCTGCTCTGGGCACCCTGTGCCAGGGCCTGCCCACCCTCCCAGCCAGGAATTCCTTCCCAAGATCCCTCTAAACCTCCAGTTTGAAGCCATTCCCTGCCTGTCTTGGTGGGTTTGTAAAGTCCTGGAGCCTGTGGATGGATGCACTTGGGAGGAATTTGCTGCTCATCCAGAGGATCCCTGCTCATCCATGGGATCCCTGTTCATCCATGGGATCCCTGCTCATCCAGAGGATCCCTGCTCATCCATGGGATCCCTGCTCATCCATAGGAACGATCCCTGTTCATCCATGGGATCCCTGCTCATCCATGGGATCCCTGCTCATCCAGAGGATCCCTGCTCATCCATGGGATCCTTGCTCATCCATGGGATCCCTGCTCATCCATAGGATCCCTGCTCATCCATGGGATCCCTGTTCATCCATGGGATCCCTGCTCATCCAGAGGATCCTTGCTCATCCATGGGATCCTTGCTCATCCATGGGATCCCTGTTCATCCATGGGATCCTTGCTCATCCACGGGATCCCTGCTCATCCATGGGAGATCCCTGCTCATCCCTGGGATCCCTGCTCATCCCTGGGATCCCTGCTCATCCACAGGATCCCTGCTCATCCATAGGAGATTCCTGCTCATCCATGGGATCCCTGCTCATCCATGGGATCCTTGCTCATCCATGGGATCCCTGCTCATCCACGGGATCCCTGCTCATCCCTGGGATCCCTGCTCATCCATGGGATCCCTGCTGGCATCCCCAGGCTGTGCTGCCTGCTCCACCCCCTGCAGCCATGTGCTGCTTCCAGGCAGCTGCCCAAAACTTGCCCTGGACCCTTCCTATCCCGCTGGGAGCATCAGGAATGACTGAGGGGCTATAAAAAGTCTCTTTGCTATCAGATGGTCAAGCCCTGGGATGATTCCAGGATTGCTTCCAGAATCCCAGCCTGGCCCAGAGCCTCCCCCTGGCCTCCCTGAGTGCTTCCAGCTGAGAGAGTTGCTAATGCACCATAAATAAACCTCAGAGCCTCAACCTTGCTCCAAAATACCAGGGGAACTCCTCCATTTAGGCTGTGCTGCCTCTTGTCCCCTGCATGTGACCGTGGTTGTCCCAGCAGATTCCTGCTCCATGAGGTAAGCTGGCTGGGATAAATGGCAATGCATGGAGCTGCCTGCACTCAGCCTCTGGGTATTTGTTGCTAGAAATGGTCAAAAAGTTGGGCAGGGAAGCTGGAGGGGTGGGTGGTGGGGTTTAGTGGGATGATTTGTGCGGTAATAAATCAGGGTTAAATTAAAGCTGAAAATAAAAGTTGTGTATATAAAAATGAATACTATAAAATATAGCTATAACTATAACTACATTTATAAATATAAATATGATATTATATATTATATAATAGATATATATTATATTATGCTATATAATATATAATATATATTATTATATATTATATATTATATGTATACTATATATAGTATATATAGTATACATATTATATACTATATATAATATATATAGTATATAATATATAGTATATATTACATACTATATATATTATATATAGTATATATAGTATATATACTATATATTATATATATTTATATTTATATCAATATTATATTAAATTATTTATTTAAATAATATTTTTAAAAATATAAATAATATAGGAAAAAATATCTCTAAATACAGAAATAAAACTAAATTAAAAGTTCAAAAAGTTTGTCTATAAAATATAAATATATAAAAATATATATATTTTTTAGAGATCTAAAATCCGTATAGATATCTAAATCTATATATTTTTAGCCTGGAAGTGTTCAAGGGCAGATTGGACAAGACTTGGAGCAAACTGGGATATTGGAAGTTGTCCCTGCCCATGGCAGGGGGTAGAACAAGGTGGACTTTAAGGTTTCATCCAACCCAGACTACTCTGGGATTCAATGATATGATTGAAACAAATAAATAGAAATATATAAATAAAAATAAAGCTTAAAATAAATAAAAAAAATATATATATATAAAGTGTAAGTAACTAAAAGAATATAAATAAAAATAAAATATAAAATATTAAAGCAAGATAATGGAATGGGACAGCTACAATATAAAAGGCAGTTAAATCCAGAAGTGTGCAGCCTCTGCATTCAGGAATGCCAGGTTTAGTGAGATCCTACCTGAAAATCACCTGGATGGGGGAAGTTCCCAGTGTGGCATTTCCCAGCCTGTTTGCAGGAAGGGATGATGCTGGTCAGGGTGGGCACTGTGGGGCTGTGTCCTGCTCGGGTCACGTGCTGGGGACCAAATTCCTGTGTTAATTATAATCCTGTGTTAATTATAATCCTGGGGGTGCTCAGGGAGCTCCCACTGCTGCCAGCATGTGGTGGGATCCCAGCCCTGTGACTTCTCCTGCCTGGGACCATGGCTGGTTGTGTCCTTCAGCATCCCTTGGGTGGGAAAGCCCAGCCTGGCTGCAGCCAGCTCCTGGCTCCTGATCTTTCCTGCACCAGGGATGGGACCAGGGCTGCTTTCCATAGGGCATTCCAAAGGGAAGGTTCTGCAGCTGAGCATGTTGGGGTGATAGATGCAAAAAAACAGAGCAGGAAACAGCACAGGAGCTTCAGCATGGACAGGCAGCTGCACAGGAGACTCCAGAGCTCCTTCCAGGCTCAGGCATGTCCAGAATCTCCATCAGAGAACCACAGGATGGTTTGGATTGGAAAGGACCTTAAATCCCATCCCATTCCACCCCTGCCATGTCAAGGACACCGCTCACCATCCCACATTGCTCCAAACCCCATCCACCCTGGCCTTGGGCACTTCCAGAGATCCCAGGCAGGAAAATGGGAGAGGTTTGCTGTGAAAAAGAAACACTTTGGCCAAAATCTCTTTAAAAAGTGGGTAAATTATAGGCTTTAAACTTTCCAGTCTGATGTGTAAATAAATGGCTTAACTCTTGGATTGCTCCTGTGGAAGTGAGAGGGTCTGGCCTGTTACCTACATGGCTAAGTAGGGATTTGTGTGCTGATCTCTCTTTCTATTTCTATTTTCTATTTCTATTATTATTTCTATTTCTATTATTTCCATTTCTATTTCTATTTCTTTATATTATTTTTAAATTATTGTATGCTACTATAATATTATATATTATTTCTAATTTTATGTTATTAATGTGAGGATTATTGTTTTTATTATTTATATTTAATGTTTGAAGGTGTTACTGGGCTCTGTCACAGCGCTCACATTTACATATGAGTGGCTACACCTGGGAAATTCCACATTTTATCCAAATGTTATGTTACCTTTCCAGCCAAGGACAATACTTTTTTACAACAGGCTTGCAGGGAAAACGTTCTCAACTTGATTTTTAACCATTACAGAGCAGGAAATTCATCCAAGGGAGATACTGGGCATTGCTGGATGTTGTTCTTAATGGAAAGATATTCTTTTTCCCCTTTTTCTCTTTTTTTTCCTCTTTTTTTTTCTCTTTTTTTCCTTTTTTTTCTCTTTTTTTCTTTTTTTTTTTCTTTTTTTTCCTCTTTTTTTCTCTTTTTTTCTCTTTTTTCTCTTTTTTTCTCTTTTTTTCTCTTTTTTACTTTTTTTTCTCTTTTTTTTCTCTTTTTTCTCTTTTTTTCTCTTTTTTCTCCTCCTTTCCTCCTCCTTTCCTCCTCCTTTCCTCCTCCTTTCCTCCCTTCTTTCCTCCCTTCTTTCCTCTTCTTTTCTGCTTTTTTCTCTGTTTTTCTCTTTTTTCTCTCCCTTTTCCTACCTTTTTCCCCTTTTTCCTCCTTTTTTCCCATCCTGCCATTATAAAAGTTGGCCATTTTCCCCTCCAGACATCAGGCATCCAGAAGAGCTCTCCCTTTTGAGGAAACCCAGAGATCCATCAAAGAAAAAAAAGAAGAAATTGGACGATCAATGTGAAGACGACACCTTCGAGCTGGAGGGGCCTCTGATCACGCCAGGGTCGGGTGAGCTGGCAAAAAAAATGGGAGCAGGGGGGAAAAACTGTCACAGCAACGTGGGGCTGCTGGAATTTCTGAGGGTCTGTGCAAGAAGCAGGCCCCAGGTCCGTGGCACAGGTCCTGGCAGGCTGCAGCACTCGCTGGCACGGATGCATGTCTGGGGCTGGAGCTGGCACGCATTTCTGGGAGCAGAGCAACCCCCAGGCTTCACAGAGCAGCCCAGAGCCCAAGTGTGGCCACCTGAGCACTCAGATGGTGTTGCTGAGAGCTTTTCTTAGCCTGTTAAGAAAGGAGTTAAATGGAAAATCGTTGCTAATGTCTGCATTCCTGGCGTGGTTTAGGCTGTGCCACCGTTCTGCTCCGTATTCACAGCCCAGCAAGGGCAGGGTTTTATTAATTGCTTTAGTGTTGCTTTACATGAACGGTGTAGCTGTGGATTGTGATGCTAAAAAAAATCCTTTTATTGCTGGTTGGCCAGTGTGGATTCCAGATCCAGAGCAGGATTGGGAAGGGAATTTCTGCTGGAGTGACATCCCTGATGGAGTTGCCACAGGCAGCAAATTGATGCAGGTGTTTGCAAGCAGAGGGGCTTTTCAGCTTTTTTCCATGGCTGCTGGAATTCTAGAGTCTGAAGGCAAATGGCAGGAGTTTAAACCATGATTTTGGCCAAGTGGATTTGTGGAGAAAGCCACAGTGGTGAGCAGGAGAGACGGGTCTGGCTGCCAAAGCTCTCGGGTTTAAATCCAGCAATCCAAGGGCAGCAGGGCAGCTTTAATTAAAAAAAAAACTACCTTGGAATTGTAAAGTTGTGTTAATTGATGTTAAATCAGCTGCAGGGAAGGTCATGGAGTGTGGTTAATGCCAGTGGTGGCACAGGGCTTGCAGAAAGGGAGGTTTTGGCTGTGCGGGCTGATGTGCACCACGGGGCTGGAACAAGGAAAAATAATCCTCCTTCTGCTCTGATCCCACTCTTTCTCCTCTCTTAAAATTAAAAATACTTCTGGCCTTGCCCTCTTCCACTCCTAGCTCAGACAATTTGGGCAAGGCTCCAGTCAATTTTCATTTCCATTTGGCATTTTCATCTTGAAAGTCCATTCTAAGCCTTTCCAACAGGCAGTGTTCACAGAGAGCATCTCTGTTAGATTAATAGGAAAGACTTGGCCTTCTTTGGGGGAAATGTATGCAGAAGCTGGGCTTTATTTTAATTATTTATGGCTCTTCCAGTGAGTCACTTGGCTGGTTTTGCTCTCCTTGTGAATGAAATCACTCACAGCAGGTTGAATTCCTGCCTGTTCAGGTGCCATTCGATAAAAGCCGTGGGTTTCATCTGAATAAATCATTGCTAGTGTTGTTCCAACATCAGTTTGTGTGCTGAAAGCTTCTGGAAAAATAATTAATAATTCAGGAGGTGCTGATTTCAATGTCTTGGGAGTGTTCTGTCACTGAGTACCCCAAACCTGGCAGTGAAACCATTTAAATCCCAGTGAGCAGAGTTGTCAATACACCCACAGGAGGTGTTGCCCAACACTTTCCATTAGAAGACCTGTAGTCACTTGTTTATATAAATTAGCCAAATTTGTAGCTATTTCTGCTGGAACTTTCCATGACACTGCCTGCCTGGGGCAAATTTTTTTTTAGGGAAGCTTCTTCTGTGATGTTTGAGGTGTTTGGAGAAAGAGATGAGGAGAAAAGTGCAGGGGAAGCTTTGCTCTGGTGGAGCAGACACTCAGTCAGGAGTGTGGGGGATATTAATGGAAAAACTTGCCCAAAATTTGGGGCAAAAAGTGGGATTTTCTCTTGTTGTTCCATTTGATGCTCAGCCTTGTGTACTTGAGCCATGTGAAGGCAGAAGCTGCAGTGAGGGTGGATGGAGAGGAGGGAAGAGCTCCTTTGGGAAGTGGTTTATGGGGGTTTATGGCTGGTTTTTGTTGGAGTTCTCTGCTCCAGTGCTGTGACAATCCATGGGGAGAGCACCTCCCTGCTGCTTTTGTAATCACAGAATCACAGGATAGCTCGAGGAAGGGATCCTCAGGATTGTGGAGTCCCAGCTCCCAAAGTGCAAGTACCCGGTCTAAAAACCTGGAAATCATCCCTGGCCTTTTCCTTGCAAATGAAGGTGGATTTTTCCATCCTTTGACATCCCTGCTGCTTTTTTTATCCTGCCTGGTTTTCTGGATCTGTCCTGGTGACAGGTCCCCATGGTGCTTGCAGGTCCCCAAATTATCCATCCAGACTGGGATGCCAGCAAAACGAGCAGGAGCATTAAAAGCATCCTTGTTTGGTGGTTTTTGCTTACATTTTCCACCCTGCCAGGCAGTTTAGAATCAGGTTTGTAATTATTTGGAGTTTCCTAGCCATGATTTTGGCTGTCAGTGACATTGGTGCTGCTGATTCCCACTGTCCTTCCTGTTCCTTGAGAGCCCATTGTGAAAATTGAGGGTTCAGATAGGTTTTTCCATTGGTTTGGTCTTGGACTTTTCCAGTTCAGCTCAGTTTTCTGTCATTCCTTGGCCATGAGGGTGTGGGAATGGTTTGGAGCAAGGAGCTGGAGCCAAGGTGGTGGCTCAGGGCAGCAGCAGGAGGTGGCACAAAAGGTTTTGTTTGTGACATTTCAACTCTGTCACCATCTTCAACAACCTCAGCAGAGCTCTGGGAGGGAGAGCTTGGGTGCATTGAGTTGCAGGCTCATGATTTAGGAAGGACACAGCCCTTTCCCAAAAATCCAGTGTGGTGTTGGACCTGCTGGTTCTGGTGGGCAGGTTTGGGCCCAGCAGGTGATGCTGGGTGAGCTCCTGGCCTGAGGTGTGCACGCAGGCGAATTCCTGGCATCAGGAGATGGTGGTTGATCCTCCCTTATTCTGAAAATCTGCATTTTATATAAAAATTCAGTGTCCCTGTGAGGTGAAGAGAGGCTGTTTGATTGGATGGTTTGGGATGGAAGGGACTTAAAAAGGGACTTAAAGCACTTCTCATTCCACCCCCTGCAAGGGCAGGGACACCTTCCAGAGACCAGGTTGTCCAAGCCCCATCCAAACTCTCCTGGAACACTTCCAGGGATGGGGCAGCCACAACCTCTCTGTTTAGCTCTCAGCTATTTTAAGCTATGAGATACCAAGCTGGATTTGGGGTTTTTTTCTCTTCAGATTAATAATTTTAAAATGTTTGGGTGTTTTAATGTCTGCCTTGAGTCGGTACGAGCTGTGAAGCTTCAAAAGGCCTGGGAGAGTAACATTTGCTTTGGGATCAGTCTGGCACCACATTGCACCACTCAGCACATTAATCCTGAACTTGTGTGGCCACCTCAGCGAGCTTTTCCATCCGGGAATGCCACATTTCCATGCCCAGCTGTCCTGGGGACGTCACTTCAGTTGCTTTGCTGCCACCAGCGCTGCTGCAAACGCTCCATTAGGGTGGTGCAACCTCACCTGTGCTGTTCTGCCCTCTTCCAAAAATGCCCATTTTTGGCTTCTGTCCTTCTCCTGCTCTCCGGGTGACTTTCTCTCGCCTTCTCACTTCCCTCCTTTCTTTCCCTCTCTATAGGCACCGATATTCTTTACATCGGCCCCGTCAAAGGTGAGCTCCACCTCAATAGGACTTTTGCCCTCTACCTCTGGTCTCTTTGGCTGCACCCTTAGTTTATTTTCCTGCTCCTCTAAAACTTTTGACTTCCAAAATCTTTAAGCAACAGGTAATACCGGTAAGTCGGGGGCCACTCACGTCCCAGATGCCACAGAAACACAGGGGGCAGGAGCGTCCCGGTGTGGGAGACCTGAGTCTTTTCCCATCCTTTGGGCTGGAAGTTTTCCATCAGTTTTGCTCTTGGAGAAGAGCCAAGAGAGAGGAGAGGAACAGGGAGAGCAAGCAGCGCAGCGTTTTCCCGTTGAGAAAAGATGAGAAGGGAAAGTTTTCCATGCGCCGGCTCCGGGTTTGGGCAGAGCCGGCGTGGCCGGGAGCAGGCAGGGCTTGGCCCGAGGCTAATTCCCGGCTTTTATTCCCCTCGCTGGTAGGAAATATCTATTCGAGCCCAGGACTCTATAGCAAAACGATGACGCCGACCTACGACGCCCACGACGGCAGCCCCCTGTCCCCCACGTCCGCCTGGTTCGGCGACAGCGCCCTGTCCGAGGGCAACCCGGGAATCCTGGCCGTGAGCCAGCCCGTCACCTCCCCGGAGTCCTTAGCCAAAATGTACAAGCCCCAGACGCTGCTCGATAAGGCCAAAATCAACCAAGGGTGAGTGCAGGAGATGAGGATTTGGGGGTTTTTTTTTGGATGATTTTTTAATGGTGTCCTCGAGAGCATTGTGGGGACTCCACCGGAGCATTCCGTGTGCGTTATCCCGTGTGCGTTATCCCATGTGCGTTATCCCGTGTTGGCAATCCACAGGTGGCTGGACTCGTCCCGATCCCTCATGGAGCAGGAGGTGAAGGAGAACGAGGCTTTGCTACTCCGGTTCAAGTACTACAGCTTTTTTGACCTGAATCCAAAGGTACAGAGCTCCTTGTTCCGCTCCCATTTTGAAATTTCCATCCTTTGGAGCGAAGGGTGCCTGATCTCTAACTTGCTGTTGTGTTGGTAAATCTCCCAGAGACCGTGGAAGTTTGAAAATTGGTTGTGCAGGCATCAAACCCAGGATTTGTGCTGCATTATACCAGGGGATTTGGATGTTGCTAGAGGTGCTTCAAGAGTTCTTAAAGCCTTCTAAAGAGTTCTTAAAGTTCTTCTTGTCAGTGGCAGAGGATTTTCATTCTCAGATCATTGTGTTGAGATGAGAGATCATAGAATTCCAGAATAGTTTGGGTTGCAATGGGCCTTAAAGACCATCTCATTCCACCCCCCTGCCATGGGGAGGGACAGCTTCCAGTGGATGGGGTGGTTTGTGTCGAGCTGGGCTCCTGGTTTTCCGAGCATTCCACGTTTCTGTGCCGCAGTACGACGCGATCAGGATCAACCAGCTGTACGAGCAGTCCAAGTGGGCAATCCTGCTGGAGGAGATCGAGTGCACGGAGGAGGAGATGATGATGTTTGCAGCACTGCAGGTGAGACACAGCCCCAGACACCCCTGGGTTGGGTTAGGCTTGCTTTTGTTCTCAGACTTGTCTGCTCATTAATCTGGTAAATGAAATTGTGGAATCACAAAGTGGTTTGGGTTGGAAGAGACCACAAAGCTCATCCAGTTCCAACCCCTTCCACTATCGCAGGGTGCTCCAATCTGGTCTTGGACACTTCCAGTGATGGGGCAGCCACAGCTTCTCTGAGCAACCTTTGCCAGGGTCTCACCACCATCACAGACAAGAATTCCTATCCAGCATCCCATCTAAACCATCCCCTCTTCAGTTTAAATTCATATTTTAAGCCTCACCTTGTCTCTGATGGGAGCTTGTCTTTCTCATGCTGGTAGGAGTTGGAAGAAGTAATTTCCCATCTCCAGATCCTCACTTGAGTTTATGAGATAATTTAAATACTTGCCACTGATTATCCTTCATGAAAAAGAACTTGACCTGTTTTTACCAAACATGTTTATATCTATTTTAACTTCTAGTTTTGTCCTTCTTAACCCATCCCATACGAACACGGGGTTACTGAACTGTGCCTTTCTGGCTTTCTGCCCCCAAACCAGCTGGGGATAATCTGTGGTTTTCCCAGAACTACTTATTTATCTGGTTTATGAAATGCTCTGTGTGATTTGGCATAAATGCTCCACCTGCTATTGAGTTCATGAGAGGGATGGCAGGCCTTTGTTCCGTGTGGTCTGGCACACCTTGGAGCTGTAGGAAGCAGAAATGTCCCCCTCAGGAGCAGGGCTGCCTGCTCCAAGGGCCCCTCCCAGGAAAAAAAGAGAGAAAAGCAGAAATATAATGGCTCAGTTTACATCCAAGTGCTCCAGAGTGGGTTGGGCATGGTTCTTCCTGTGAGGTTTTATGGATGTTTTGGTTTTCTGGGGTGAAAACAGATGCAAAGACAAAGAATCCTACAGCGGTTTGGGTTGGAATGGGCTTTAAAGGTCATCTTGTTCCACCTCCTGCCTTGGGCAGGGACACTTCCACTATCCCAGGTTGTTCCAGCCCCTTCCAGTTTGGCTTTTGACACTTCCAGAGATGGGAGATCTTACAAATATCCATAAACAGCTGGTGGGAGGCAGGAAAGGGGGTGGACAGAGGTGCCCAGTGGCAGGAGCAGAGGGCATGGACACAGCCTGGAACATGGGAGGGTCCCTCTTCACATCAGGAAGCATCTTCATACCAGGAGGGTGACTGAGCACTGGCACAGTTTGCCCAGAGAGGCTGTGGGGCATCCATCCCTCGAGTTCCTCCAAAGCCAGGTGGGTTTGGTCCTGGACAGCAGCTCCAGGTGGCCCTGCTGGAGCAGGGAGTGGCACCAGGTGACCTCCAGAGGTCCCTTCCAACCTCAGCTTGGTGGGGAGAGCAGCTCTGCCCTGTGGGGTCCAGAGATCTCCCTCAGGATGTGTCTGGAGTCTCCTTGGACTGGAACCATCCAGGATGGTCCTTCCTGAGCCAGCAAACCCCCCCAGCATTTGCTGCCCTCTGCTCCTGGTGTCCCACTCTGCTTCCCAAGCATGGTGGCTGTGTCACCATGGTCCCGTGGGATCCTGGGGTCACACGGGCACCCAGGGGTGACCCTGGCCTTGCCTTGCAGTACCACATCAACAAGCTGTCCATCATGTCCTCGGAAAACCACCTGAACCACAGCGACAAGGACGTGGACGAGGTGGACGCCGCGCTCTCGGACCTGGAAATCACCTTGGAAGGTGGCAAGACGTCAACAATCCTGGTAAGGGAGGTTTTCCAGGCATGCAACCTCATTTATTTCCTATTTTTCTTTTAATTCTGATGAGAAAGTTGCCCACACCCCAGCAATATTTTCTTTAAAACACAGGGATTTTAGATACCGAGGGTTAGTTCTGAAATGAGGGAACCCTGGGCAGCATCTGCAGAAGTCTTGGAGGAGCCAGGATTTTGCTGATCCCCCCCCTGCACCAAGCCTCCCTCCTGATGAAATAATGGAAAACTAAATGGAAATTAAGTTGATTTTTATCCTCACCACTGATTTTCCCAAATAACTGAGTTTTCCACGTTGAGGTTCCTCTTCCACTGTTTCTAATTCACGTTTTACAGCACCTAAAGCAGCTGCTGGATTTTCAGAACTAATTTAGGCTTATGAAACCCTATTTTTATTAGACTGGATTTTAGCCTAGGTCTGTATTTCAGAGCATTTGGGGTTTTTTTTCTTGATATGTCGTTTTAGCACTGGTTTTCCACCTTTAAAAATATAAAGCCTGAAAATTAAAGTGCATTAAAAGGACTCAGTCTTGTCAGCCTTGGCCCAGCACAGCTTTTCCAGGCATTTTGCACATTTAAACCGTCTCTTTCCAACCCTAAAATCTGAAATTTTCCACTTTTACACTTCATATAATTTTTTAAGCGTTTATGACGGGTCTGTTTGAAGCTACATCCATCCTTAGATGCTTTATTGGCATTAACAACAGCAGAGCTTTGCAGTATGAACCAGAAATAACAACAAATTTTTATCACCAAGGCATATTTTCTAATTCCTTTTGCAAAACCAGATTTGAAACACATCAGTGAGGAACAGTCCCTGCCAGACAGGAGTGAAGAGGACAATGATTCATCCAAAAAATCCCATCCCTTTCCGTAGGGCTTTGGAGCAGGAGCCATTTCCAGATGCATTCGAGTAATTGAATACGGATAATGGGCAATTACTGGATTGTTTGTTTAGATTCTGCATTTTTTTCCCCTGTGGTATCTGTAAACAGTTTCTCATTGCAAACTGAAAGTAAACTGTCCTGCTACTGGAAGCTCCTGGAGCAATCCTCCCTTTCTTTCTCTTTCCCTGGGAATTGCAATTGCCACCCTGATGCAAAAAAGGGAATTTAAACTCAATATTTTCAACATTTTGGGGGAGAAAAAAAAAATGTTTCAAGGCTTAGAAATCCCAGTTAGTTCTCTGCAGAGGTGCCTCTTCTCTTTTTGTTTGGAGCATCAGGAATAAGTGAAGGGAGGAGAAAATTCGCTGTGCAATGGTGACTCCAGTCTGGGAATTGGCTCCAGCAGCAGCAGGAATTCCTCAAAGGAAAATCAATCCTTGTCCTCTGCTTTCAAATCAGCAGAGCTAGGCCTTGCATTTTTCACTGCTGGGAAGTGGTTTGGGCTTTCTCAGGGCAGTTTCCCAGCCCCTAAGCCCTGATGGTGCTCCTGGTTCCCTCCCCTGCACCACATCCCTTCCCTGTGATCCCACTGCTCCCAGTGATTGGGATAATCTTTGATTTCCAGGGTGACATCACTTCCATCCCTGAGCTCGCTGACTACATTAAAGTCTTCAAGTAAGTGCTGATGGGAAGAGCTGCTTGTGGAACTGGTAATGCCTGTGAATAATTAATGGTCTTGCCTCTTAATTTCCTTTTTTTTTTATCTCCCTGCCTTATGATATTCAGAATATTCAATACTTAAGTTGATTGGTTCTTAAATACAAAATTCAAGGTGTTCTCCTGCTCTGGTGCATCCTATAGCCAGCAGTGTGTGCTTGGGTGTTTCTTTAATACCCAGGAGAGAACAAACCATCCTAAAATGAGGAGTGAAACCTAAAAACCTCCCTCTAAGACTTCTCCTGGTCTGCAGGAGGCTGGAGGAATTCCATCCAGCCAGGATCCCAGTCTCTCCATGCCAAAAGGAGCAGGTTAAGCTGACTCTGCCCCTTTCTCAGCTTGTTCAGGATTTAGGGGGGTTTTTTTTAGCTTGCTTTGACTTGGTTGGTGGTTCATGGAAATCGGGAGCAGCAGCGTCTGCACTTGGAGGAGCATTTTTGGCAGCCACCACCATCTTTTGCAATTTATTGCCTGCTGCAGTGAAAGTTCTGGAAGCTGGAAACACTGATGGGATTTCACAGCAGAGCTGCAGGATAGTGCTGGTGGGGGGGACAAGCTGCAGACAGTGAAGTAGCTCTGGAACAAACCTTTATTTTATGAATTGTTTGGTTCTGGAGCCAGAACCTGGCACTCTCTGCTCTGCAACCCCTTCTCCCTCTCCAGAGGTGAATTAACGAGGTCTCTGCCTCTGTCTGGGCTTGTGGTCTGCCTTAATTGGGATGAAGATTCAAGGCTGTGCCCAGCCCCTCGGTGTTTTTTCCCTCCCTTGAACAAACAAACAAACAAAAAACTTGTTCTTCCCTTTGATCTGCTGATTTGCCAATCAAATTAGGCACCACTCCGGGAGCTAATTGCCTGCAAATTGGAGCACCAGGGGATGGAGCAGCCAGAAGCTGCTGGTTCCTCACTCAGTGCAAGCCCCAAACCCTGGGGTTGGGGTTTGAGGCTGTCAGATTGAACACAGAATTCTGTTTGCTCCTAAAAATGGGGCTCAGGTGGTGTTTTAGTGCCAGAAATGCAGTGTGAGTGGTGCAATGTTTGGAGCTGTCCCAGCTCTGGATGTGTCACACTTCAGCTGGGGAGGAGAACTGGGGGAGCAGTGCATGTCCCTTGCATTCCATATATTTAATTCCATATATTTATTTTTAAATGTGTCCCAGCATGTGCCTGGTGTGCCTGTAGAGATTTGGAATGGTTCTCTCTCCCCTGCCAGCCAGGTCACTGCCCTTGCCAGCTAAAATCACAGAATCCCAGAGTGTTTGGGGTTGGGATGGACTTTAAAGACCATCCTGTTCCAACTCTGCCATGGCAAGGACACTTTCCACTGTCCCAGGGTGCTCCAAGCCCTGTCCAACCTGGCTTTGAACACTGCCAGGGATCCAGGGGCAGCCACAGCTGCTCTGGGCACCCTGTGCCAGGGCCTGCCCACCCTCACAGAGAAAGATTTCTTCTTAATATCCCATCTAAAATACTCTCAGCAGCATTTTCTGAGATGAAAACACAAGAAATGAATGAGAGGCTGCAGATCCAGCTTTAGAATAAAGTTTATAAGTCAGGGAAGGTTAAAATATTCTGATATCTGGGGCTCTGTAAAGGCTCTGGACTTGTGCTGAGATGAGTTCAGGGTGCTTCACATTGCAGGGCCACCAGTTCTCCTGCAGAATCAAGCAAAATCCATGCTCTGTGTAGAAAAGAAGGGAACCTTTTGTGCCTAGGAGTGTTTAAAAAGAAAACAAGGAGTGCACTCAGGCGTGTGCGTGACTGACACGTCCTTGGAAGTGCTGCTTCCCCCAGAGCCTGAGCAGAGTGCTTCCAGTTTCATGTGGTGTCTGGAGAGGCAGAGTTTGCAGTGCTTCATGGACTCCTCTGTTTTTGTAGCACAGCCCTCCAGCTCCCCCCACCTTCCCCCACATTATCTCCCTGGGATTGGAGAGGCCAAACTTGGAATTGGAGCTGAACTCCTTGAGCCAGCAGTGCAGGAATGGCTGAGCCCCCAGGCAGGAGTGGGAATAACCCAGGCTGCTGACAGCAGCTTGCCAGGGCTGAAATTCTGAGCAAACACTGAGGTTTCCAGCTTGTTTTAGGAGCTCAGGCCAAGTGAGATGTCCCCCCACGTGTCCTGCAGGCCCAAGAAGCTGACATTGAAAGGCTACAAGCCCTACTGGTGCACCTTCAAAGATACCTCCATCTCCTGCTACAAAAGCAAAGAGGAATCCAACGGGACTCCTGCTCACCAGATGAACCTGAGAGGTAAGAGAAGCACAAGGCTGGGCTAAGAGAAGCTGCTTTTTATTCCAGGAATAGGCTGCTCCTCGTGCATCTCGTTTTCCCACTGCTTTATCGCCTCGGAATTCCATCCTGGGGTTGGGTAAAGGTGTGTAAAGGAATGACTAGGCTGGGTTTGATATCGTGGCACAGACTTGGAGTTCTGAGTGTGATTATGTGTGATCCCACAGGGAAGCACCACCAGCCCCCCAATAGCTTGGGAAGAGAGCTTGGAGAACCATGGAATGGTTTGGGTTGGAGGGGACCTTCCAAACCTTCTTCCAACTTTCCACCTGCCCCTTCTCCTTTTTGTCAGCTCTCCAAAGGAGTGCACTGACTCCCACAGCAGACACTGGAAAGAACAGACCATTTTCTTCCTCTGCTGCCTTTATTTCTCCTCCTCTCCCTGCTGCTGGCTGGGAGCAGCTCACTCCAGAGCTGAAATCCCTGTGGTGGCTGCCTGTCCTTGTGTCAAGTGAAACATTCCTGCTCCAGCAGCCAGGGAGCTGCAGTGAGCTCGTGTGTTCTCCCCGTGGGTGCAGGAGCAGGGGGGATGCCAGGTGACCTCAGGCTGCTGTGGGAGCAAGGCCTGGCCCCCAGGACCCTTCTGGGAGCTTTTGGCAGATCTGCTGTGACGGCATTTTCAGAAATCTGCGAGGCGGCGTTGGCGCGGCGCCCGTGGCGGGGTCGGTTCATCACCCCTGTGTTTACACAGCCCCTTGGAATCCTCTCCAGGCACCAGGAGCAGGATGCTCACAGCCAGATCATGGAATCCCTCCATGGTTTGGGTTGGAAGGGGCTTTAAAGCCCATCCAGTTCCACCCGGCTCCCACAGGCAGGGACACCTTGCACTAAACCGGGATGGTCCAAGCCCCACCCAGCCTGGCCTGAAACACTTCATGGCATCCCATCACTCATCAGTAACATAGAGGGGATTCAGGGTGACAGCCAACACCTGTCCAGTCACCTTTTCCTGTCCTTTCCTGAAGATTTTGGGGTGTTTTCCAGCCACTGGATTAATTTCTGATTCCAGGCAGGATCCAGGAGTTCTCTGGGTTTGATTTTGCTTCATTGCTTTCAGATCAGGTCTTGCTTTTCCCCCCATTTTCCTGGCACTTGTAAAAAGGGACATCTGACAGGTTTTTTTCTGTGCTGTGTGGAGTGTTCATCCCATCAGAGGTGTGGGACAGACCTTTGGCAGCACTGAGATGCCACTGGAGACCCCTGGGTCAGGGAACTTTGCTCTTTCTTTTCCTATTTTCATTTTCTTTGCAATTTTTTAAATCATCATTCCTCACACCCCTGCTAAACCCCTCATTGCAGGATGTGAAGTTACCCCTGATGTGAACATCTCTGGTCAGAAGTTCAACATCAAACTCCTGATTCCAGTGGCAGAGGGGATGAACGAGATTTGGCTGCGCTGCGACAACGTAAGTTCATCTCTTGGACTGGCCCCCTCTTCAGCCTCTTCCCACCATCCTGCTCAGGGGCTGTTCTTTAAAAAACAAATAGAAAATGCTCCCACCTGTCTGATCTCAGCATTCCAAATGTGCTCCAAGTCACCTGTGAGTTCATGTGGGATTCACATTCTCTGAACCTGAGAGAAGCAGAGAAAAGAATGATCAAAACAATTCTTATCTCATTTGCTGCGCCTGTCTTGTGCCAAAGCAGAATGCTGTATGGAGATTGTTTACCCAGAGTGATGGTGTTTTGTTTCCTTGGCCTATCAGGGCCAAGGGCATGTGCAGGCCGTGGGTCAGCAGACACTCACGAGATTCTGGGCAGTGGAGTTGAGTTTGAGTTGGGTGATTTGTGCAGATTCAGTTTAGATGTAATGTAATATAGTGCAATATAATATAGAATAATTTAGTATAATCAAGAAATTAACTAGCCCTTTGATAAGTTGGAGTCAGATGCATCATTTCTCTCCCCTTTTCCGGGGTTATCTGCATTTACTAGAAGTTCAGAGCAGAAAATCAGCTTTGACTTTGTCGTGTGGTTTTTGGCCACACGTTGGTCGGTTTCTGCCTGTCTTTGTGCATGCTGGAGTCTCCTGAGGCTGGGAGGGGAATGAGGGCTCCATGGGGTGTTTTTGAGGGCTCTGGTGGTCCCCCCATGGCTGTGGCAGACACGTGTCCCTGTTTTGGGGGGCAGGAGACGCAGTACGCCAGCTGGATGGCCGCCTGCCGCCTGGCCTCCAAGGGCAAGACCATAACCCTAACCCTAAACAAAAATTGACCCAAAATAGGGATTTTCAGAGCTCCCTGGTGCCCTGCCAGAGTTTGGTGTCAGAGCCAGCTGGGGCAGACATATCTCTGAGAAGCCCAGCTGATGTTCCCTTCATCTGCTTGTAATCCCAAGCAGCATCCCAGTCATTTCTCCACATATCCCAAACAGAAAGATCTGCTGAGCTCAGAGTGAGCTCCTGAGCTTCCCCTCGAGCTTCCCCAGCCAGAGTGGCCTCGAGTTTGTGCAGAGATGTGGAGAGGACAGTGAGGCCATGAGCCTACCTCTGAACCGGCAGCTCACCCTCCCCTTCAGGCCCCAGCAGGAATCACAGAATGTCCTGAGTGGGAAGGGACCACAAGGATCAGAGTCCAGACCCCCAACAATCCCACCCTGGGCATCCCTGGCAGCGCTGGCCAAACACTCCTGGAGCAGAAAATCAACTTTAGCTTTGTCGTGTGGTTTTTGGCCGCACGTTGGTTGGGTCCCTGCCTGTCTTTGTGCATGCTGGAGTCTCCTGAGGCTGGGAGGGGAATGAGGGCTCCATGGGGTGTTTTTGAGGGCTCTGGTGGTCCCCCCATGGCTGTGGCAGACACGTGTCCCTGTTTTGGGGGGCAGGAGACGCAGTACGCCAGCTGGATGGCCGCCTGCCGCCTGGCCTCCAAGGGCAAGACCATGGCCGACAGCTCCTACGGCATGGAAGTGCAGAACATCCTGTCCTTCCTGAAAATGCAGCATTTGAACCCAGACCCGCAGCTCATCCCAGAGCAGATCAACACTGACATCAACCCCGAGTGCCTGGTGTCTCCTCGCTACCTGAAGAAGTACAAGAACAAGCAGGTAGGTGCTGCTGGTGGCCTTGGCTGGGCTGGACACGCGTGCTGGTGTTTAACACGGCGTGGTTTGGGTGTTTTGGATGTCCTCACTCGCTGGGATGCACGTGGTTACTAAAAGGAGGTGGGGCTGAAGGGTTTGGTTTGGATCCAGCACCTGGGGATGGCACCCAGCACCGGGATTGTGCCACGTGCTGTGTGAAGTGCACGGGCACGGCGGGGAACCTTCAATTGGAAATGCATCTGAAATTGGGTGATGCTTATTTTAAACGCATTCTGGGAATGGTTTGGCCCCTGCTGATACTGGTTTGGCTCCAGCTGCCCCATCTCTGCCCGGTGCTGGGGTTAAAACCCCTTCCCCTGCACAGAATCCATGGAGAAATCCCCGGGATCAGCGGAGTTGCAGTTGCTTGCAGTGCTTTATCCACACTTGGCTGTAACACGGTTTGCATATTTCTCTCTTTGCTTTTCCACTGCTTCCAAATGCCAGTCCTTGGAACATTGCTTCGGTTTTGAGTTGCTGTGGCTCGTGCTTGAACTCCATCCACGCTCCATCCCATCCCTGCCTGACAGGGCTGAACTTTTCCGCTCTGGGAATAAATGCAGGATTCTCTCAAAGAGAATTATATGTCAGAACAGCAGCAAAAATAAGGAAAGCATTGCTCCGTGGCCTTTTGGTGACTTAAATCCTTCAGGCTGCTGGCTGGGGCTGGATGTGATTTCTCCAAGCCCAGAAGAAGGCTGCAAGTCAGAGAAGCCGGAAAAATATAACTTTTTATTGGCACAGCACGATGATTTCCTGGCAGTGGAGTTATATTTTATATAGCCCTTATTATTCTCCTGAATAAGCCTTTATATCCCCTTGGATGGAGGAGAGGCTGCATAAATATACTACTTTAACATATATATAGAGAGAGATATATATTTATATATATAAAATACTTTCTAGGTTTCTGGGAAAACAGAGGCACCTGGAAAAATATTAGCTTGGAAAATTTGCTTAATGTGCAGGTATCCTGGTTATAAAAATAAAATCTATGGAATTGTGGGGATGAGCACGATGGGGATGATCCCAGTCAGGATGTGGCCATGGTGTGGACACCAGGGCCCTCACAGGCATCAGCTAAGCAGTGGATTTAGGATTTTCCTTGGTGGCCAGAGGCAAAGCCTGGAGCAGCAGAGGATGTTTGCTGAGAGGAATGAGGGATGGAGGCTGCAGGAATGTCAGGAATTTGACCACAAGGGTCCTTCTGAGGCACAGGGAAGGAGGGGGAGGAGGAGGAGGAGGCTGTGCAGCCCACAGGAGGTGCTGAAATGGGAATTGGCTGTGGATTTATGGAGGCTCTGGGTCCTCACCAGCCCCACACCCACTGGGGTGATGTTTGTCTCCACGTGCAGCAGCGTAGGGTTGGCAGGCTAGGATTGGAAGCACCAAATCCTAAATGAAAATAAACAAAACCCGATCCAAAATAGGGATTTTCAGAACTCTCAGGTGCCCTGCCAGAGTTTGGTGTCAGAGCCAGCAAGAGCAGACATATTCTGAGAAGCCCAGCTGATGTTCCCTTCATCTGCTTGTAATCCCAAGCAGCATCCCAGTCATTTCTCCACATATCCCAAACAGAAAGATCTGCTGAGCTCAGAGTGAGCTCCTGAGCTTCCCCTCGAGCTTCCCCAGCCAGAGTGGCCTCGAGTTTGTGCAGAGATGTGGAGAGGACAGTGAGGCCATGAGCCTACCTCTGAACCGGCAGCTCACCCTCCCCTTCAGGCCCCAGCAGGAATCACAGAATGTCCTGAGTGGGAAGGGACCACAAGGATCAGAGTCCAGACCCCCAACAATCCCACCCTGGGCATCCCTGGCAGCGCTGGCCAAACACTCCTGGAGCTCTGGCAGCCTCGGGGCTGTGCCCATTCCCTGGGCAGCCTGGGCAGTGCCAGCACCCTCTGGGGGAGGAACCTTTTCCTGAAACCCATCCCAAACCATCTGAGGACCAAAACCATCTCTCCACAACGCCAGGGCCCAGCTGGGATCACTGCAGTGCTCCAGCAGGGCCGGCGTGAGCGGTGACTCTCTGCTCGCTTGTCCCTGCTCACATTCCCTTTGGCTGCTTTTCCACCTAAGGAATTGTGCATGTGGTTTGTTTTGGTTTTTTTTTTTTTTTTGCTTGAACTTTGGTTTGCAGTTAATTTACACTTTTTCTTTGCTTTGTTGCCATATTTCTGATTGCTTTTTTTTCTTTCTGCCTCCTTTTCTTTTTTTTTATTTTTTCATTTCGCCTTGCCATCTTCAGCCAGGCTATGTAAGAGACTTGGTAAGTGACAGCAACAATAAAATTAAGATAAACTTAAAATAAATTTAATCTAGAACCCCTTTGGTTTAGAGAGCAGCGGTGACAGCACTAACAAAACCTGCACCCTCCCCGTGACACTTGGGCCCTGGTAGGTTTTATAACAGTCCCCAGTGACTTATGGGGTGAAACTGGAAACCCTCCACCACAAATTTGCCTTGTTGTTTCCTCACATCCTTAAAGTTCCCAAGAGCATGAGTGGGAATGTGAACATCTCTGGTCAGACAGCTCCGATCTATATTTGCTTTCCTGTCTGTGGAGATGGGAAGCTCCATGTGGGCTCTGAGCAGTCGGAGCTGAAACAAAACCTCAGGGGAGGAATTATCGATTATCCGCGCTCGGATCCGCGCGCGTGGCAGCGGAGGTGGCGCTGAGGTCCCCTGTCCCCTGACCCCGCTGTGTCTCGCCGCCCGCAGATCACGGCGCGCATCCTGGAGGCTCACCAGAACGTGGCCCAGATGAGCCTCATCGAGGCCAAGATGCGCTTTATCCAAGCCTGGCAGTCGCTGCCCGAGTTCGGCATCACGCACTTCAACGCCAGGTGGGTGCGGCTGCAGGGCTGGGCTGGGCTGGAGGAGTGAGTGTCCTTCATGGGTACAGGGAGTGGGTAAAATACCCTGGAATCATTGTGGAACAGATTGGGTTGGGTTGAGTTGGGTTGGGTTTGGATGCATTGGGTTGGGTTGAGTTGGGTTGGGTTGGGTTTGGATGCATTGGGTTGGGTTGGGTTGGGTTGGGTTTGGATGCATTGCGTTCGGTTGAGTTGGGTTGGGTTGGGTTTGGATGCATTGGGTTGGGTTGAGTTGGGTTGGGTTGGGTTTGGATGCATTGGGTTGGGTTGGGTTGGGTTGGGTTTGGATGCATTGCGTTCGGTTGAGTTGGGTTGGGTTGGGTTTGGATGCATTGGGTTGGGTTGGGTTGGGTTGGGTTTGGCTGGGTTGGGTTGGGTTTGGATGCATTGGGTTGGGTTGGGTTGGGTTGGGTTGGGTTTGGTTGCGTTGGGTTGGGATGCATTGGATTGGGTTTGGTTGGGTTGGATTGGGTTGGGTTAGATTGGGTTATGTTGAATTGGGTTGGGTTGGGCTGCCTTGGATTGGGTTGGGTTTGGTTGGGACCTCAAAGTTCATCCCATTCCAACCCCCTGCCATGGGCAAGGACATCCCTGTGCAAGTCCTTGGCCAGGGAAGTCGCTCTGCAGCTGAAATTAAAAACATGAGCTGCTGTGATTTGTAACAACGATTTTACAAGTAAACTCAGCTGCTGGGTTTGTGTGTGTGACCTGTTTTTCTCAATCCCTGTGCCAGGTTCCAGGGTGGGAAGAAGGATGAGCTGATCGGCATCGCCTACAACCGGCTGATCCGCATGGACGCCAGCACGGGCGACGCCGTCAAGACCTGGCGCTTCAGCAACATGAAACAGTGGAATGTCAACTGGGAGATCAAAATGGTGAGATGTGTCTGACACCCTGTGCTCTCCCCTGCTCCTGTCAGAGAGACAGGAACCACTCCTGGAGTCCTGGAATCCCACAGGGTTGGGTTGGCAGGGACCTTAAAGCTCATCTTGTTCCAGCCCCCTGCCGTGAGCCTCTCACTATCCCAGGTTGCTCCAGGCTCCATCCAGCCTGGCCTTGGGCACTTCCAGGGATCCAGGGGCAGCCACAGCTGCTCTGGGCACCCTGTGCCAGGGCCTGCCCACCCTCACAGCCAGGAATTCCCAGTTCCCAATCTCCCATCCATCCCTGCCCTCTGGCACTGGGAGCCATTCCCTGTGTCCTGTCCCTCCAACCCTTGTCCCCAGTCCCTCTCCAGCTCTCCTGGAGTCTCTTTAGGCACTGGTGGAGTTGTGTGTGACCTTTAAGGAAAAACCCCAAATCTTTCTCTCCTGTAGCCAGGAATTATTTTCTCCATTCTCTGAGCCCCACATAATTAAATGAAGTGAAACCTCAGCACTGATGCTCAGGCTCCATCCTAACCCATAACACAAATACACAGGGCCTTATCCATACTAAAATTCCTTTCATTTGCTGTACAACTCAGACTTTTATGTAAATAGCAAACAAAACAGAGTAGTTACTTCCCCAGGCTCTGAGATGGGCTTTCCCCCTGCTGTTACATTTGGGTGCACAAATTTTTGGGCTCCTTTTTGGCAGAACACACAATTAAAACTTCCAGGGATACGTGAGAGCTGTTCTCCTGCAGTTTGCAGCTCATTAAGAGTTGCTGGAAAAATTATTCAGCGTCCCCCTCTGCCTCAGAGTCATTGTTTTGACTCAGTTGCAAGCCCAGATATCCCAATTATCCAGCTTGGATACTCTGCTGGGAATCCCCATCCCTCCTGCAGAGCTGTCAGTGATGGGGGGACAAAAAGAGAATGAGCACCAATAAATGAATGGTTTGTTCAGTCACTCCAAAATGAGCTCCCCCAGACCCCATAAGGTATTTCAGTGGCCAAAATTCAATTTAGAAAACCAGAGAAGAGTGGAAAGAAAGCCCAGATTTCAACAGGTCTGTGCCCAATCCCTGTTTTTCTGGAAGCAGGGGAAGTGTGGCCACGTGCTCACCATGGAGAGGTGGAAACACACTGGGGGATCGTTTCTGAGTCATGAGGGAATACAAGGGGTAATGGTAATTCAAATAAATAAATGAATGGATAAATAAATAGAAAAGAATAAAAAAGGCACAAAAGATATTTCAGTATCTAAATATTTGAATAAGAGTCATAGGATATTTAAAGGGGGAAGGAACTCATAAGGATCCTCAAGGCCAAATTACCATTCACAGAATCCCAGAATGGTTTGGGTTGGGAGGGACCTTAAAGATCAACTCATTCCATCCCTGCCATGGGCAGGAACACCTTCCACTGTGCCAGGGTGCTCCAGGTCCTGTTAAACCTGGCCTGGGACACTTCCAGGGATCCAGGGGCAGCCACAGCTGCTCTGGGCAACCAGAGAAGAATTCCTTCCCAATCTCCCATCCATCCCTGTCCTCTGGCACTGGGAGCCATTCCCTGGCTCCTGTCCCTCCATCCCTTGTCCCCAGTCCCTCTGCAGCTCTCCTGGAGCCCCTTCAGGCCCTGCCAGGGGCGCTGAGCTCTCCCTGGAGCCTCCTCCTCTCCGGGGGAACATTCCCAGCTCTCCAGCCTGGCTCCAGAGCAGAGAAGCTCCAACCCTTGGCTTCCTCCCGGCTCACTCCTACACTGGCACCACAAAATTTAGCTCAGGCATTAGAAATCCATCTGAACACCCCGAAATGAGGGAGAAGGGGAGGCAGGGCTGGGCTGAGCTGGGCTGTGTGTGCCCGCAGGTGACGGTGGAGTTCGCGGACGAGGTGCGGGTGTCGTTCATCTGCACCGAGGTGGATTGCAAGGTGGTGCACGAGTTCATCGGGGGCTACATCTTCCTGTCCACGCGGGCCAAGGACCAGAACGAGAGCCTGGACGAGGAGATGTTCTACAAACTGACCAGTGGCTGGGTGTGAGCCCCGCAGCCTCGCCCCACAGGAACCCCCATGGCCATATTCATGTTTAACTTTCCAAAGCTGTCCTTTGACATAATGCTGCTTAATAAAGTAAGCTTGAAATGTATCTTTTTTTTTTTTTTAACAATTGGATTTTTCGTTGGTTTTTTTTTTTGTTTTACTTTTTTTTTTTGTTTTGGTTTTGGTTTTTTTCTGTTTGTTTTTTTTGGTTTTGTTTTGTTTTGTTTTTTTTTTTTGCATTACCAGACCAGTTAATCTGTGTGCACTAATGAGCACTTCTGTTAATTTGCTATAACCAGACCGTGTCTGGGCAGGGTGACAGTGACCCACAGATCCAGACTCCGATGGGCAGATCAGGATAAAGATTTAACTGACTTTAAAAAAGCCAATTTTTGAAGAGAACTCTAAGCCATCTTCTTGTAAAGCCATCCAGGGCTAACCTATATGAAGTCTATTTATCATGTTTAATGCATGAGTGTTTTATTTCCTTTTTTTTGTGTGTTTTTATTCTGTACATTTGACCTGTTTGAAGTCGTCCTGCTCCCAAGCAGAGCTGCCATCTCTCCTCTCACACTACACCAGGACTCTGAAGGTGCCTGACATGACTTTGAGGATAGTTTTGTGTGGCCTCGAAGATGATCTTCTGTTAGTCTGTTATAGCTTGGTTTTATTTGTTTAACTTGCCTTTTGATAATCATTTATATTGTCTTTTTTTTTTAATTTTATTTGTACACCATATTGTATTATGACACTTTTAGTATTCACCAGCATAGTCACTGTTCTGCCTCTGATATGCAAATTTTTTCATTACGATATGAAGTAAAAGGTTTATGAAGTAAAGGTTTTTGTGTAACTAATGTAAAAAACCACAAATTTTATAAAGTTGTACAGTTTTTGTAACTAGTCTCACAAGCCAGCTAGGATATTGCATAGATCAGCAGTAACTGTAGGATGTCTGGAAGGGGTATGGGGACAAACCGAGGAATAAAAAACCCACAAAAAATCCAATTTCAGTCCAGTAAATTTTGATCTAAGTTAAAGGGGATTCCAGAGCTGTGCCACAACACCCTCAGTAGCTGATCCCTGGGGCCAGGGCTGCCAGGTTCATTAAGCCATTCCCATATTAATGCTAACGAGGAGGGGTCCTGGGCCCACCTAATGCCAAGGAATATCCAGTGTTGCGTTCCCACAGTCCGTGGTATCAAGACTATGTTCAAATACATTTTATTTTAAATAAAAGTCAAATCTTCTATTTAACATTCAGCTGCCACTCCTGGTTTTTGGGGTCTACCTGTGCCATGGAAAGGCCATAAACAATTCCATAGGATGGAGCCATCCCATGCCAGCCTTGGGCTCCCTGCTGCTGCCTTATCCCAAGTTTGCTGAAACAAATGACACCAAAAAGTTACAAAATTCTGGAATAGTTTGGGTTGGAAAGGACCTTAAAGTTCAGCTCGTTCCACGTCCTGCCAAGGGCAGGGACAAGTTCCACTATCCCAGGATGCTCCAAGCCCTGTCCAGCCTGGCCTGGAACATTTCCAGGGATCCAGGGGCAGCCACAGCTGCTCCGGGCACCCTGTGCCGGGGCTTCACATCCCTCACAAGGAAGAATTCCCTCCCAATATCCCCTCCATCCCTGCCCTCTGGCAGTGGGAAGCTGTTCCCTGTGTCCTGTCACTTGTCCAAAGTCCCTCTCCAGCTCTTGGAGTCCCCTGTAGATCCCACTCCCTGGCCAGGCCGTGGGAAGCAGCCCAGGGATTCAGGGAATCACAGGATCTGAGCTGAACCCAGCACTAAATGTCCCCAGCTGCCACATCCACAAAGCTTTTACATCCCTGCAGTGACTCCACTGCTACCCTGGGCAGCTCTGCCAGTGCCTGACCATCACTCCATCAAGGAATTTCCCCTAATATTTCCCCTAATACCCAACCTAATCCTCCCCTGGCACAAATTCATCTCCCCATTTCCACACCGATCTTCTCACACCACGTGCCCCGGGACTGGCTGCACCCTTGCTCCATAAAACCCAGGATAAGGAAGGGCAGGCCTGGAGGGGCTGGGCAATTCCTCCCACTCCAAGAGCAGCACCCAGGGCGTGCCAGGGATGCTCCCAGTCCTGCCCCACAGCCCCAGGCTCCTTCTCTGGGATGCAGCAGGTCCGGGCAGCTCCGAGACACGCGAGCGCAGGGCGGCGAGCGCGCTCCTGGCAGGCAGCACCAGGATCTCGGCTGGAACAGCTCCAGAGATGGGTGTGTGATGGGATGGCTCCCTGGAAAACACTCACTCACTGTCTCTGAAAAACATTCACCTATTGCCTCCCTGAAAAACACTCACCTATTGCCTCCCTAAAAACATTCACCTCCTATTGCCCAGCCTGAAAACATTCACCTATTGCCTCCTTGAAAACGGTCACCTATTGCCTCCCCAAAAAACATTCACCTCCTATTGCCTCCCAAAAAACATTCACTCCTATTGCCTCCCTGAAAAACATTCACCTATTGCCTCCCTGGAAACACTCACCTATTGCCACCCTGAAAAAAATTCACCTCTTATTGCCCAGCCTGAAAAACATTCACCTATTGCCTCCCCAAAAACATTCACCTCCTATTGCCTCCCTGAAAAAAATTCACCTCCTATTGCCCAGGCTGAAAAATAGTCACCTTCTATTGCCTCCCTGAAAACACTCACCTCCTGTTGCCTCCCCAAAAAATATTCACCTCCTATAGCTTTCCCGAAAAACATGCCCCTCCTATTGCCTCCCTAAAAAACATTCACTCCTATTGCCTCCCCAAAAAATATTCGCCTCCTATTGCCATGCCTGAAAACATTCACCTTCTTTTGCTTTCCTGAAAAATATTCATCTCCTCTTGCCTTCCTGAAAACATCTACCTCCTATTGTCTTCCTGAAACTCACCTATTGCCTCCCTGAAAAACACTCACCTCCTATTGCCCAGCCTGAAAACATTCATCTCCTATTGCCTCCCTGAAAAACATTCAATCCTATTGCCCAGCCTGAACAACACTCACTTCCTATTGCTTCCCTGAAAAACATTCACCTCCTATTGCCTCCATGAAAAATATTCACCTTCTCTTGCCTTCCTGAAAAATATTCACCTCCTATTGCCTCCCCAAAAACATTCACCTATTGCCTCCCTGAAAAACATTCCCCCCTTTTTCCTCCCTGAAAAACCTTCACCTCCTATTGCCTCCCCAAAAAACATTCACCTCCTATTGCCCAGCCTGAAAACACCTCCTTTTGCCTCCCTGAAAAACATTCCCCCCTTTTTCCTCCCCGAAAAACCTTCACCTCTATTGCCTCCCCAAAAAACATTCACCTCCTATTGCCTCCCTGAAAACATTCACCTCCTATTGCCTCCCAAAAAAACATTCACTCCTCTTGCCCAGCCTGAGCTCAGCAGGATGGGGAGGTGACAAGATGGAGCCAGAGCCCTCAGTCCGTCCATCCCCAGGGCTTCCAGGGCTCGGGCTGGCCCTGGCCGGAGCAGGGGAGGTGATGAGGCAGGAAACGCTGAGCAGAGAAGCAGAGGAGGTCAGGGAAGGGCCATGGGAAGGCAGAGGCTGCCGACAACCACAGCCCTTCCCCACACGGCCCCCCGAGGGTGGGAGCTGGGAGAAGCCCGGTGGGAAACTGCAGGAAACAGGGAAGGGTCACCGGGGGTTTGAGGTGATCCGATGTCGTTTTCTGCTGGGTTTTCCAGGATATTTCCTGGATGAAAACTTCACTTCTCCTCGGATGAAAAGATGCAAGTGGTGATGAGATGTTGGGGTAAAAAATGATGTGGTTCTCCTAAAATCTGGAGAAACGGCAGATAAAATACGGCACAGATGGGAGTGGGCACACTCTGAGGATGGACAGGGGTGAGGAGGAAGCGTGAGGAGCACACTGGAAAAGGGATTAAGGAGGGAAATGGGGAGAGCTGGAGCCCATGAGGAGGGAAGGATGATCCACCTCGGGGACAGGCAGCAGAGAGGACGAGGAGCTTTGTGGTTCTTTGCTCCATGATCCTGAGCCAAAGGAAAACCAGGATGTGGTGGGCACAGAGGGTTTCCAGTGATGTGGAAATCACAGCTGGGTCTGGGGTGTCTGGGCATCAAACCAGCAGCAGAGGATGAGGAGGGTCTTGGTAAGGCAAGGCACAGCCAGTCCCAGCTCCTGCAGCCCCAGCACTGGGAGAAGACACGGAGATTTATTTTGCTGACACAGAAATCTGGCCGTGGTTGTTTCTTTTGGGTAATCAAAGCAGTAATCCAAATTAAACCCAAACCCAGGAGAAGCCAGCCCGTGGGTGTCCCCAGCCCCCAGGGTGACTCAGCCTCGGGGAGGAAAAGCTGAGACTGCCTGGCATCCACAAACCACGGCTGTGCTTGGGAAAGAGGAATTATTTCCAACTTCCAGTGATAAGCGCATGGTGAGGAGGGAGATTCAAAGCCAACAGGGCTGCTCCAACCTCGGTTTAACAACAAAAAAGTGGCAGAGATGCCTGAAAATGGGACAACGCCAGCCCTCCAACAGCAGCAGGGCCAGGGGGGTGATGCTCCTCCCTTGCTGACCCCGCTCCGGGACCTCGAGGAGGGGAAAAGGAAAAAATAAATCACGTTTTGGCAAGGCACTGATGCAAACCGGCTGCCAGGCTGAAAATGCACCTCTGAATGCATGCAGCAGGGGACTGGGATGCCTGTGCGAGCCAGTCATGGCCTGGGGGCTCGGCTGGGATTCCTACAGCGCTTTAAGCCCCGAGAAATTTAATACCGAGCAGATGGGCGGGTGTGGAGCGGGATCGGCGCAGGTTTGGATGCGGGAGAGGTTTGCAGATGCTCAGATATGTTTTTAAAAACAGCAATAAAAATAAATCTATATCTATATCTATATCTATATCTATATCACATCTATATATCTATATCCATATCTATATCTATATCTATATCTATATCTATATCTATATCACATCTATATATCTATATCCATATCCATATCTATATCTATATCTATATCTATATCTATATCTATATCTATATATCTATATCATATCTATATATCTATATCTATATCTATACCTTTATATGATCTATATATATATATGCATATATAAAGATATATCTATATCTAAAATATATCAAATCCCTCCCCAGCAGGGC